TGAAGCATCTCTAAGTAACAAAGTAATTTACAACATTCATCCGTGAAGCGAATTTTGTGGGAAGTATTCGGAGCAGATTTAACAGGCGGATTGTTATAATAACATCCCTCAATTTATACAGAGCTACTACTCGATTTATTTTGTATTTGTTGGTGCATTCAGAGTAAATCAATTCTAAGATATCAGGACTCTCGGTCCTTGGCAAAGAGCCATTTGCCTGCACCATCGTAAGTTATACTCATACCGCTGACAATTGTTGCAAGCATTCGCACCTGATTTCTGGGATTCGTTTTACATTGATTGGCATATGACAAATACAGGACATATTTGTAATGGCATACAGTGTAAAAGTTCAAATTTTATGGAACGGGTTGTCACAGAGGAAGATTTTTTGACAAAGTGATTCCCAACTTGAAGAAGAATATCAAATGACGACTATTTTAGTATCGGTTGATAAGTGCGACTTCGGTGGCTTAATTTTGTAGATAGATACCGTCAACGCTGGGAAAATATACCAAAATGTTCTTTCCTATTATATTTTATATCACGAATAGGAATAATTATAAAAGATTTAAATGTATTCGTTTCACTTAACGCATGTACCAAATTGTCTAACAAATAGCTTACGAAAAGATCACAATCAAAGGAAGCAAGTACCTTTAGAATAAAATACTTTGGAATCAAGGAACATGGCACATGGGAATTGCGCGACACGTTCACTAGCACGGGAACCGTAGTAATTTTGAAGTATGTCCTGCTGTAGAAAAGTGCTGTTTTCTACTTTCACTCCAGCTTTTATCACTTTCCTCACAGTTTGTTCTTACTTAACATATGGATGGTCTACCTGCGCTTTGGCGTTGTTTGCTAAAGGACTGGGTCCCAGAGTAATGCACTACCATCCAATGTGTAAGTTGCCTCCATATCTCCGGCATAGTGAGGGCCAATGAAAGCTTTCGTCGTCTTTCGCTGTCAGTAGCGGTGTAAGACAGGGCTGCTTTATGTCACCATTCTTCGTCAATCTTGCGATTGAAGACGTCATGTCGAGAGCTCTAGATGGTTACCGCAATTATGGGCGACAGCTACTACTGAATAAGCGAGCGACCGAGTTAGATTATGCCGATGATATTGCCTTACTTGGTGACTACTCACATAGCCTGAAAACCATTTTAGACCATTTGGCGATTAAGGCATCTCGGTATGGAATGGACTTTGCCTCAAGAAAGGGTAAAGTGCTACTTCAGGACTGAAACACTTTACCCAGCTCAATATTGAAGGTACACAGCTTGAACTAGTAGATAGCCTTGTCTAGCTGGACAGCTGCATATCTGCTAGTGGCAATGTTGCGAAGGAATTGTCACTTCGCCTCGCCAAAGCTCGGTCGAATTTTGTTAACATATGTGGGGCCGTCAAACTGTCTTCTCTGGATAAAATGTCATGTTTGTAATGTCACTGTTCGGGCGGTGTTGTTATATGGAAAGGAGTCTTGGCCAATTCATCTAGATGACATGCGCTTCCTGTAGGCCTTTAACAGTGGCTGCTTGAAGAGGATTGCTCGTGTGTGGTGGCGACAAAGTATTTGCAGCAGTAAAGTCAGACTTCGTGTTTCAGGGAAAACGAGTATTGATGAGTAGTAGTGAGGATTTTGGTGAAATTCAGCTAATTCATCATCGTCACACCCAATCAGCAGGCTTAGGTTAGTCTAGAAAAGCACCAGACGCAGGCGTTTCGACCTTATGCGTCTCGTCAGTGGTGCGCTTCCCAGTGGACCCCTGCCTAGTCCCGCCCCCATGACTTCAGGATGCCAGCAGCTAGTGTCACTTCGCCATGGGTGACAGCCGCAGACCTGCGTGATTGACGGTTGACTATGATATAACCCGGCTCATCTTCCACTGCCGTACTAGTTACGAACTGTGCAGAGGAAAATGGCTAGCCTCACGAGCTAGGACTTTCCGCATAGCGCCTATGTGCCACATAGAATTTAGAAGCTATACGGACAGGGTTTATAGTGCTGATGAATAATAGTGAGAAGTATTTCCTTGAACGGCCTTCTTTTGCTGAATCAGTTAAGCTGACTCGGTCACGTCCTTCATATGTCAGCTGCGTGGTTGCCCCACTGCGCCCTTTTCGCTCGTGCAGAAATTGGCTGGAAGAGGTCACGTGGTAGTCATCAGCCCACCGGGCGAAATCGTTGACTTCACTTCTTGCCACCGTTAGATTCACTCGTTTGCCTGCTTGGGGCCCAAAGGAAGAAAGAGCACAATTGGCCAGTGCACAATCGAAAGCAGTGGAGGATCCGTGTACCTAATTGTTTAGCTTTAGTTGCTTAAGCCTTAACGACAGAAAAGACCACAACAATGAAAAAATGGCATGTACAAAATAACAGAAACGCTCCGTTATTTCTTTTACTGCGGCACAATAGCTGAAGTGTGTTGCTCAGCTTTGCCAAAAGTGCCATGTTGGTGCAGTGGTTTCCGTGGTTTTGTTTAACTCTATGTCTATTAAGTAGACTGGCGCTTATAAAGCTGCCACTACTACTACTGCTACTTCTACTACAGCTACTTCTCCCATTACTACTACTACGACTAAGTTTACTACTACTACTACTACTACTACTACTACTACAACTATTACTACTACTACTACTACTACAACTACAACTATTACTACTACTACTACACACAGAGTTTCGGGTAACCTTGAGTACATGCAGGTGTGATTTTTGCTCGCATTTATAAATTCATATCATTTACCTGCAATGGTGTCACACTAAGACACTGAGATGCAAGATTTTGCGCTCAACTCTGTTGGAAACTTCAATTGGCTAAGTATCACACCAAATCCTTTCCTTTTTGGAGGCGAGGCAATATCTTTTTTGTACCCGCTGCCCTAAACTTCACTCAATTATGTCTAAATACGATGCTAGATAGGGAACCCAAGGCGATATCGTTTTCAATGGCATCTAGGCCCACAGTGCTTAATTTAGAATGTTCAACTATTTTGTGTACAATGAAATGTCCTTTGCAAATCACTGTCAACAATGGATTACCATTGAGTTTTACGACATTAGGGCTCTGGAAGACATATATTCGTATTATAACGGTTGTTATTTTCCCTCATAATATTTGTTAGCATTTTATCTCGGTGTTATTGTACGCATGAACACTAGGCTATTAATCTTAGGTAGTTATGTGTTAATGACTTCAGAAGCAGCTAGCTACTTTCTTTATGCCAGTAAAGTGATTACGACAGGTTGCAAGCTGATTCTTTTACGTTGGTTCGAGAGCATTTTATGTAACGACCTGCTAGATAGGTCAAAATAACAAACATGGACGCACACATAACCCTTCGATCCCATGAATGGTACCGGCTGTTTGCTGGTGCAACTGTAGACAAATGGTTTAAAAATAGTTACATAAACCCTAATGTTACTCTCACGAACTACCCGTTTAACTCAAAAAGACGAGCTGATAGGATATTATTATCGCCGGAATGCAATCTGCGTCCAAAATATCGTAATGCCCATACAAGTAATTTCAACCATTCTCGATGAAATGTCATTTAGACGGAAAAATCAATAGATATTTTTGACTTCCTTTTCGTCATTAAAATATCATCAGTAATTACTGCATCGTTAACTCCGTTCAACCAGCTTTGCTTTACGATGGGATATACATTAAATGACAGAACACAATTAGACATTTTGACTTTCTTGCATACGACAGTTGGAATTATGAGACAGATGCCTTTTTTAGGTATCGCTATCGGTGCTCGATAATTAATTCGGCCGAGCAAACATTACGGTAAGCTCACAAAGCAGAGGTTATACACACTTACGTCTTAACAACTAGTCTGTACTACATAAGTCTGTCAGAAAAATATAGTTGACAGAAATGCCTCAAACTAATTTGGTAACCAACAGATGTGATAAAAACAAAACATTTTATTATTATGAACAATTCTCCAGATCTATTGTCATTTGAAAGAGACGTGTCTGGAGTTTTACTATATGTAGAAACGATTTGTTTACTAATGTCGCAAGTATTTGGGCTATGATTTTTTGTCACCCGTGTAACTGAGATAATGCTTAATCATTTGTCACCGCGCCCAACACTTAGCAAGGTGGATTAGAGGCTACGCAGTGACTTTCGCAGACACCAGACAGAAAGATAGCTAGAGCTACTCTAACTGGATTAAGCGATGTATATTCTGATGTTCCACTTATGTTCAGGCGTCTATGGAGGCTGGATTTAAGGGCCATTGACAATTTAAGACCGTATTAGAATGGGATAAATGTAACTTTAGGTGCATATGCAAATACTATTCTAGCTTTTAAGATTCGCCTCATGTATTTTTCGCATAATGGATACCCTTTGATTGTAAAGTGTTTTTACCATATTGATCAAAAGGTAAATGTTTACTGGTGTCATTAAAATTCTGTCATCAAATTATCAAACTTAACCATCCAATAATCGCCGAAGTAGAAAACCATCTTTAAGGACGACTAACTATGGAGAAACCAAATGGTGAATGGTTTGGCAAATGCTTTTGTAGTAGCTTCGTTTCGTCTTTCTACAGAAGGTCCTACTATTGTCCTCCATACATTCGGAATACTGGAATCAATTCAGTTATAACACCTTGAACTGAAATAATTTGCAGTCAACACCGGAGCGTCAAAACTAGTACATTTTCTTGGTCCTGAGTCACATTGACGATTGAGGTAGTATTTGATGAGTGTTTAGGAATGAATACTATGACTACGAGTTAAGAGGTGGGCAAGCTTCCATGACCACCGCTGATAAGAGTGTGAATTAGCCCAGCAGCCTTGTGACCCGAAGGAATAGGGCTAGAGTGTCCTCAATGTGCAGTATTCTATTCAGCTAACCTTTTTCCTTTTACAACCCTATCTAAGCCGGATGCTTTGTTCCGCTGTCAGTCTCATTACTCTTACGTTTTCTTTCGAATACCTAAATTAATGACCTCTGTTGTTTTCCTCACACTAGAATCGTGCCCATGAAGGAGTTGACCCGCTCACAAGCCGTATCGTCACACCAATACTTCCCCAGTCGGCAGAACCCCGTGGTTCCAAAGGCCCGAGTAGGTTACAGCTAATTGATGGAAGCATGTGTGTGGTAAACGCGCTCACTCTGGCTCGAGATGGTGGCATACTGGACTGGGATGATCGAGTTATCGACGTGCTGGACGACAGAGAGATGGTAAGTTCTCTCTCTTGCCAGTGCCAAATTGATATAACTGAAACTTATCGCAAACGGGCTCACAATGAAAGTACTGGCACATTCGAAAAAAGTCATTTCGGCTGTGCAGAAACGCTAGTTGCAGCACGAACTACAACGACAGCTTTGATTTGATAGGAGTGTAGACTTGCAAAGAAATCCCCATTAAACATGGCTTTTTTGCGACTATAAATACTGAAGATCCATCCGTTATCGTCTTCGTTTTCAAATTCTGATTCAAAACCAAGGAGCCACTATCATAAGTAGCAAAAACATATTCTTTTTAGAGAGGATTGCAAGTTAAGATTGGGATATTTTAATGCCACAGTCAGTCTCACAGTCACTGTGCATTCGGGATAACATTCGACGCCTACTAACACCGAATGATAGCCCCTCATTTGTCTGTACGACGGATGGCGACGCGAAAGATTGTGTGTTCTGGTCCCGCAGAGTACGAATGGACTGCGTAGTACCCATGGCCTTCAAGAGAATGAAACGGCCTTGCAATGCGTTCCCGGGTGTACAGTGGCCCTCTGACGGGAGGTTACCGTGATGAATTCCAGTGGAATTATATCACTTTTTTGTGGTTAGGTGCACAAGCAGCACGATACGCTACATGATGAAACGATGTGAAGGTTTGCAAAATGTTGGAAATAACAAACAACTTCTTATCCAGTCTATAAGTCACACGAATATAGATAAGATGCATTGGATAGGTATGGGTAGTGTATAAGTGATAAAAGTTCCAATATTTCTGGGTATGGTACTGGCGGTGGACACTATGGATAGGTCACTACGGCAAATGTTTCATTAGGGTTGGTTGCAACAAATCTACTGGAGCCGTTTATTTTATTGGTTTTACCCATTTTTATGGAATTTGCTCCTATGGCTAGCACTCCGTAAGCAAATATTCTTGCAAAACCAACGGACCTTGGATACTCAAGCATATTTCCATATATCCCTAACGTCAGCTGCAATTTTGGTTTACTGGTGAATTCAAAAGGATGGTTAGCGGTACATGGTATCAGTATAGTAAAATTTGTATATTGCTGAGAACCAGATACTCGTATGTTCAAGACTGATGAAACGATTGGTCTACAGGCAGGTTTTTTCTTCACACCAGGCATTCTGGACCTAAAGATAAAACGCATTATTTATGTACGCCTTACAGGCACCAAATTACAAATGAAGTTGGGATGGCAAGGAAATACTCTATTCACAGCTGCTAAGTAGCTCAATTATGAATGTGAGTCTATTCCTAGTTTTCAGCCTGTTAGCTGGGCGCCAGAACAAGGATTACTATTTGGAATGCTTATTATAATATCGCGATCCACCTGTGCATCTAATTAGATATGATTACTGGTGCTGGGTCAGCTTAGCGTTTTATCAAACAAGACTCCAATTGCAGAAGTGGAGCCTACTATTTACTTCTCCGCTACTCATAGCTGTGCGGGTAACTACACCTGCACTTTTACCGTGCTATGCGGGTGTTCAACACTAGCATTTAATACACTTCATAAGGTGGCAAGTTAAGTATTTCTTGTGGATGTTTGTGAGTATGTAATGTTCGTAGAAAATAGAAGTCACGATTAAACTTCACACAATAATCTGCCTCGACGGGGAATCGAACCACGGTCCAAAGAATTTCCGGTTCGCTGCTCTACCACTGAGCTACCGAAGGCTGACGATTAGGTGCGCAAGTTTAATACATGACTTCTGCTTGGTGCGCGACTTATTGCCAAAGTATTTCTAGTTCCGAGGTTGGGTTTGGGATTCCATTGTGTTAGACGCTTGCAATTATGCATTTGAAGGTACATTGCAACTTACAAGTTCGGTCAATACAAGGGGAATGAGGGACGGTTTACTTCAATGGGTTTCTTTAAGGTACGTATTAATTTGTAGGAAAAACTACATGTAATTACTTAGTTGACTAATATGTGCAATGGTCGTCTACGGCGTCCCTGCCCTGAACATACCCAAAGAGAGTGCATTCTCACCGAGGTTTCTCTACGCTACGTAGTAACACACCGATGATGTTAACTCGACTAATGATGAAAAGTAGGCAATAAGATTACCAAACTCAGTGGAAGGTTCAACTGTCAGCTGAAGAACCCGAGCTACTAGTTTTCATTTTTCTGATGTATTTAATCATACTGGAACACATTCATTGTATTTAATTTCACAGTCAAAAAGCAGCTCTAGTACGAAAGGAGATCATACTTCAACTGTCGTTTAAGGCAAAATCAAACGTTTTTATATGATAGCTTTAAGTACTACACGGTGAACTTATCTGATTATTGACCTGACCTAATTATTCTGTATGAATATTAGGGCTAAACTGCTGCAGAAGGCTCCATACCTTTGCCTACTTTTTAAGCACAAGCAATGACCTATCCCATTTCTGCTAGTTGCTACTGAAGTCTGTAAAACCAAATGTTAAAGCACCACCCGTCAGCATAACTTCGCATCATACACACCCGGTTGGTACAAAACTGTGTACGATAAATACGTCTCGCAACCAAGGTCAAAATGTGGCTGGAATTCTCTGCGCTTTGATTAAAGCTGCACATATAAACTTCCACAGACACAGCACACCCTTTCACCAAAATAGTACGAAATGTTCTATTATTTTTGCTTTTTCGGTTGATATAACATTTATAAAAATGGCAAAATACGACCCCTCAATACCCAGCACCCGGAGCCGGATTTGTATCCGATGACCATTTAACTAATACGAAAATACAGTCCGTTATAAACGAATTTACCTCCATATGATTTTATGTGACAACCAGGTACGCAGGAATTAGTAGATTTAGGTTTTGCTAGGCCGAAAATACAAATTGCTGTACTAATTCTGGTCAAATTCATCCTAAGGTGGTTATGGTCGATATGGTCCTATGCTTTCATCGTCATCGTAAGACTCCGGGCAGTGTTTATCCTTTCCACTCTATTGCCCTTTCAAGCTGAGTATTTCTCCGATTGTGAAACAGTGGGAACACGTGACCTGAAAATCAACAGTCAATTTTTCCATTGTCCACCGCACTGCAGAGCAGAGCAGGTTTCGTTCCCACTTATCGGACAGAGCACCAAAGCGTATTACGTGGGTGCTTGGACGGTGTTCATTCAAACTACCGCCTTCGCAACTGCTCACTTCTTGTTTGGCGTTAGATTCCAGGAACTTTGAGTATTAATATAGGCGTGGTTCAGAATTCGCGTTTGTATTTGATCCCACAATAACATATGTCCACCAGGATGCGTGCTTGGGTTTACGTGGCCACATTATCACCTTGCTGTTAACTAATAACACGTTGGTGCATAATAAAATGACAACTATTCATAAACTAATTGTAAGCAATGAAATAACCATGTAACGATATCAAGATCATTACTTGAGCATTGTTCCTGAAACATTTCCTTTTTGAGTATGTAATATTCTTCTCCATAGGTTTTAGTAATATATACCGGAACTAAAGTATATACTATATATCCAACCCATGCCGCATGAAGTCTTTCACACTTAATGATGACCATCTGTCTTTGCTTGACATATTTCACGTTTTGATCTTTTTCTAGCACTTTGTTTTACTCTTAATATTATAACCCAATCTAACTCAAGAAATTTAGCCTGCTTACATGCTACTCAGCATTTTCATGTATTTATGCCCACTGCGCGAAAAGTTGGACCCCTGTATTACGACCACGTAATAATAGGCTACTTTCATTTAACCCACGTTTATACTGTTTTGAACTTACTTTTCTGAGTTGTGAACTATTCGAACTTTGGATTAATGCCTTGTTATTAACATGTACGATAGTCCTCCAATACAATTAAACTATCCCTTAGTCGACATTACGCCGTTCGTGTTGTACTCATTCCCACTTGTTGGCCTCTACCGTTTTAAATTACTAGTGCATTCGCATACCACAGGCTGTATTTTGTTCAACTACAAATGTTCATGATCAAACGAACTGACCCTATGCTTCTTCGCAACACTTGATAAACTCCTTTACAAATGTCTACTTACATTATATTTCAGGTAAATGTATGCGGTACAGTTGGTACAAGTCACATCCTAAAAATTAACTAAAATCCACCTATGCAACTTTGGACAAATCGTGCTGATCAATCTGATATAATGATTGTATGCACTTGCGGGCACATCTTTTGCAATTGCCTTTATATTACCATCTATGTGCTGGCAGTTGATCGGACTATCTGACAAAGGTGCACTACCTACGCTGGTTTGGTCACACGCTTGTAGATCGGCCAGAACTTTGGATTTTGTTTACCGTCCCTGTGTGCATCTGAGACAGGGTAGACAAGTGGTGACATTAGCAATCGACGTGATTAATCTGGTCAAAATATTCATTCACATTTTTGTTCAGGCAAAATACAATATATATATATATATATATATATATGTATATATATGCTTCATCCACATTTGTCCTCAACACCTTCCTGATCTTGCTGAAGGAGTTAGCCAGTTAGTTGTCGGACACTTTATGGTTTCGGTCTGCATCATCAATAACGTCCAAGCAATCACAGAACAAATGGATTTTTGCTCATGTGCATCATAGCGGTTAATACTCTTCGTTTCAATTTTCTTTTCACCGTCTACTGAACCGATGAACAACTAATGCATATTCAGGCAAAGAGATGATTTGTATTGGAGTTTATCTTAAGAGCACAAAATATTTTGAGCCAGATGGCCGTCTGGTGTCACCCGCCAGAACTATCTACACTCTATAACCGGTTTCCTGCTTTAAGACCTCACCACGTGGACACAATGGGTACTCAATCCCGGGACCCTTTAGCTTAGTCCACATCTTCACTGCTGAGCTAGGTAGTCGGGGCGAACAACATTTGCCACAACCGATTATGACTGATTGGATATACAATTCGTTCACATCATTGGGCTGCAACTGCTGAATGCTCAGTAGGCTAAGACGGAGCAACTAATCCAACCAACTGGGTTTAA